CAAATTACAGCAAATTATTGCGCGAGATAAGTTTTTTATTGTAGAACATACATGAGGAAAGATCGCGCGTTTGACAAGTCAGTCAATCAGCTGATTACAATTTGACAATACTTCAGCGGAGACTCGAACCGTTCAGTTTCAGTTGAATGAGACGTGCTGCTAATGCAATTTTAAAGATTCCTGCATTACCAACATCAGTTATACCAGCCTTGACGTTCTACATTACTAACAGTGCTCAGCTTTGAAAATTTTTATATTACCAATTTACTTCAATAGAGTGTGCCTTCCAATAAGCGACACAAATGACACAATGGATCATTACATTCTTATTATTTGCTAATGTTAAACAAAAATGACATAATCACTGTTGGAAGGCATGTTAGAAGGCACACATATTATTGTGCTGGAAATTCACACTGCCAGAGAAAAACCTGAGAGAAATCATGTCGATCTTTTTCCTATTATTGTCGAAATCTTCTGTATACTACTGTCATCCTTCTGTATACTAAAGTACATCCATTTTCAATTTGTGATGGAACTATGTGATTACATACACTTTCTGACACTATCGATAAAATCGTATCGTCAAAAGTAAATGTAGTTCGTTTCTGTAAATCCTCAGAATAGAAACGTGTCGACTATATCGATAGGAGAGATAGTTTAATGGATTCTTGAACGAAAAAATTTTAATTTCGCATCTCCTGCATATGTAAATAAAAGTTGTTGAATAAACGAAATTGAAAATTCAAACAAGTTAATTTAGTGAATCTTATCTTATGACATCTTATAAAATTACGAAGTTATGTTTCTTTATGCAAATTTTCAATCCAGTTTTTACTAAACATAATTACTATAGTATATCTCTACTATATCTCTTACTATAGTATATTACTATAGTATATCTTTTATTTTAGAATAAGACGTGAATGACAGAATCATATCTTATTCTAAAATAAAAGTGTTATATTCGTAATTATGTTTGTTAAAAACGGTTGAAAATTTGCATAAAAAACATAACTTTGTAATTTTATAAAACAGATTCACACACACACACACACACACACACACACACACACACACACACACACACACACACACACACACACA